GCGCTTTAGCGAGCGATAATAAACTTGTGTTTATTAACAGAATAATGCGTCTTTCGGAAGAACATAGTAGCCGGATCTACTTCTCTCTGTGTACGTCTATGACGAGTCACGCAGGTACTGGGCTACTCCGCAGCGGCAGCGATCCAAACCAGTGTAAAATAGTCCCAATGTAAACCCTTATTATAGGTGTACCATAGTGGTTCAGGATAAGACAAAAACACGGATTGAAAAATGGATTCATGATGAACTCGCTCATTATATACATTTTGAACAGAAAAAAAGTTAAGGACTTTTATTTAATGCTCGTTGCTCAAAACTTTTCAAAATATGACGTGACCCCCATAGAGCTTGCCGAGGCCCCCTTGTGGGCTGCGACCCCCCTGTTGGGAACCGATGATTTAGATCATCACTGCGTCATAAACCTACGCCTTTGTTATTGTAGTTTTTCTTGTGGTGAAGAAAAACTACATGTTGGGCATTAAACCATTAAAGGCTCCAATAATTTCTTGTCTTTTTTATTATCTGCCTTTTTAAATTAAAAACTGACTAAGTTACCAGGGGGTTCATGAAATATTGATGGCTCATCATAGTTACAAAGTGAAGGACAAATAATACTTTTACCCTGTAGTGTCATAGTGTCACTTACATTAGGGATTGATGGTTAAAGTTAATAACATCTCTCAGCTTCACATGACTCAAGGCTCTACATGGCTTAAAGACAACATACAAGGCTCCAGCACATTGTACTGTGATGTTTTAGATGTTTTGCTAGCTCAGTGCATTATTTACTTTTTACGCTAAAACTTGTACCCAAGTCTAATTTTCTGCCTATATATTTTTTTGAGTGTCTTCATATAACATGACCTTTTCTATTGGGTCATTATCAGACATCGGTCAATAATGTCTGATATGGAAAATATGCTTCTGTGGTAATATGATAAATGATGTTCACCACGATGACTAATTTCCATAACATTTAGACAAAGATGTTGTAACCGACCAAGAAACCCCCTAGAAGACAGTCCAAAAAACAAAAACAAAAAAAAAAAAAACCCTCTCTGACTGTAATCCGTTTGTGATCCATTTTAAATAGGCTACTTAGTCTTTGAATCAAACCATTAAATCCCAAACTGAATGCTGAAAAATATCAAAATTTGAGTTACATTTTACCCTAAATGCATTAATTTACATTTATTGAAAGCAAGTGCCATTTTTAGCTCACCCCAGAATAAAACTTCTGTCAGTAATTTCTCACCCTCATGTTGTTCCAACCCTGTAAGACCTTTGTGCAAATAAAGATAATTTTGTTGAAATCTGAGAGCTGGATCACTCTTCCATAGGCTTCTTAAGGGATCGAAACTGGCCAGTCCAAAAGTTATGAAAGACATCGTTAAAATATTCATTTTCTTCTGTGTGGGCCTCTGACGTGAGTTCAGCGCAGCGCCGAGCTCAATTGTATCCGACGCTGGTAATGTGTGTGATGCGTGTGACGTACAACACAGAAGCTTTGCATAGTTTCACTACGTGGGATCTCGAGGACAACAGAAAAGGAAATTAATAGTCGAATAAAGTCATTATGTTTGTTTTTTGCGCACAAAAAGTATTCTCGTCACTTGATAAACTTAAGATTGTACGGAGCCCCTAAAGGGACGTGGTGGTGGAAAAAAATGTAGGGTTCCTCACAAAACTTTTGCATTCCCCCAAGAAACTTTGCGTTCCCTTGCACCTTCCCACTCAAATATAAATAAACGCGGTCAGTGCTTACATTGAGTTAAGTAAAGTTGGCAATATATTCAAATAGGCTATTTTAACTTCCCGGATAAATATTCTTGAGCTAAACGTTGTTAACACAAACATCCAAAGTATTTTATGAAAATGGCTTAGGTCGAATTTGAAATGTCACTCAAATATAATTTTGCACAGTGCCATCCAAGAAACCAGATCTGCATCACATGCAAAGGAAAAACTATTCAAAATAGTTTAAACTACCTAAAGTTGTCATTTTTTAGATGCTCTCATGCCATTTTGCTTAGCTCCAACTGCTCAAGTGCATTTAGTTCACCGTTGTGGGTGGGACGACGCACTTCAGCTTACACCAGATGATGCCGTTCTGTATGAGATGAAGTCACAGGTAAAAAAGTGTACAGTGGAGTTATTTATAGCTTTTGTGTAATGAAAATTAAAGACCTGACAGAGACTCTGTATGTTTTCTTACATCCTTTTTTTATGAGGTGGAGTCATGAATTGCCTCCATGTCATTTTTCCACACAATACCACACCCAAACACGCTTTCACATTATCAGATAGCTACAGCAGTACATGGGTTTTTGTGGCAATTCTAATCTTTTGCAAACACCTGTCACAATCTTACTTTTTCACTAATAACACACAATTAGATAGTGATGGAGCATATTTGTTATTTAAATCTACTTATTAGCTGGCTGACCTGGCTTAGAGTTCTATATATAGTATCAGTATAAAGTTGTATTTACAATTTTGTGTTACTTTGAGTGAAAAGATGACAGGATGTAGCCTACACCTTTCCTCATACCTACGTCCTCTTTTCCAAGTACAGTAACACTATGTACTTTTTGCCTTTCCATACAGGCTTGTGACGCATTTCACAATCACGAACCTGAAAGACATCTAGTAAATTCCTTGTAAATGACTTTGAGTTAGAGCTTGAGTTATGACCTTATCTCACCATTTACCACAGGTCTTTGTAAAAAAAATAAAGGTACCCAGCACTTATGTGTTCACTCTTTGTGTTTCATCATTTTCTTTATTGATCACTAATTTGTTGTCCAATACTAACGGTTTTCAGCTGTGCACTCAATAACAAGCATCATCATCACCATATATATATATACATATATATATGCAAAATCCTCTAAATGCCATTTGAAATTTTCTTCTAGAATGATCATTTTTATCAAGCTTGTATATTTAAGTTCAGTGATTTCACTTAAATGACAATGATAATTACCTATTAATTGTTATTTAAATGAAATTACTGAACTTAAATATACAAGTTTGATAAAAATCATCATTAAAGAAGAAAATTTCAAATGGCATTTAGAGGCTTTTGCATCTGAACTCTTCATATATATATATATAGATAGATGTTCGTTTCTGTTTCAGTACAGTTAAATATTATATATATGGATTTATTAAATATTATCTGATTGCCTTCATCATCTTCTTCGTGCTCATTACTACAACCACCTGCGTGACGGTGACTGCCTGGTCTGGGGAATTTTGGGAAGCTGCACGGTCTTAAATGTCTTTCATTTAATGTGGTATTGAGGTCTGACCCTGACCCCTGAATTTAAAGAGACGTTTTATGAAATTTGAACTTTACATTTCAGGTGCTGTTATTACTTTGGTTTCCTCAAAAGTCTGTATTTTCTGACATGAAACATTCAGGCACACAATGTACCTGTAAGTTTATTTTCAAAACAGTTGATCTATCATTCAAACTGTTTCCAATTAACCACCAAGAAATATTTTAGATTCTTTCACAATTAATTGACAACAAGCAGGGTAAACTTGTTTAATTTTGATTTTATTTTTACCCCTGTTATGATGAAATCGTAAAACACTTATTCATACTCATTTGCCACTTTTCTTTAACTGCAAGGAAAGAAAACAAGAAAAGACTTGCAGTTACATGTGTGAAACCCGTCGTCAAATATCCTGTTTTTATCCCATGCATACCTTACACAGAGAATGTTGCCTGGTCTGCCAGAATCATTGTGAAGGTGTGTGTTAGTGCGTGCACGTGTGTGTGTGTGTACATTGTCAAAATTCATGTTTTTTTTTATTATTATTATATATTTTGCGTTTTGAACCATAAATCTCTTTTGTTTAAGCCTAGAATCATGTGTTTGTCTTCATAGCCAAGATTGACTGTATTGCAGAAAGTTACTTTTAAAAGTATTGTGATAAATTATTATTGCATTACTCCCTAAAAAAAAACTAGCTAATTGTTACGTATACTACTTTTAATGAAAAGAAATGCTTTACATTTTCTCACCTGGGATGGACTTACTTTTTTATAATAGTAAAAGGTTATATTTTTGGCAAATAGAAAGGCCCTTCCAACACTCTTTAGCAACAACAAAATGAAACCAATATGATGTTTATCTAAAGTAATGTTTGCAATTAGCATTGATGAATTGGATCATCAAAAGTCAGCAGCAAATACATTGGGTAATAAAGTGAGATTAAATGCATAAAGTACAGTATAGTTAATTGCAGATTTGTAATATTTTGCCTAACAGTTTGCATTTAACTTTTTATTCATTTTGTGAAAATTCTGAATCTGTTTTTTTTTTTTTTTTTCAAAGTTTAGATGAGTAAATGCATGCTCACATTTAGTCTAGAACAGGGTTCCTGTAATCCAGCCCAACCTCCAACGATGAAGATTGAATTATTCTCCAAGTCTTCATCTTTATAGGCCACTCAAAATGCTTGCTTTGTTTGGTCATCACTATTTCTGTTCTGTGTTCTAAAATTGACTCTCTTTTTGACTCTAATTACTAAAATTAACACTTTTTTTCTAATACTTGCCTTTGACTAGACTAGCTGAAAGATGTTTTTGTCTTATCTATTGAATCAGTTTTAATTTTTCTTTTCATTAAGCCCAATAAATATTTGTTGTGCTTTATTGGTTTGAATAAGACATTTACTGGCAGTTTTTCCATTTGGTTTTCTATAATAATTTTAAATAGCATTTTTCATATGAATCCACCTTGATTAAAAAACATTTTTTACATGCTATAAAGTGAGGTTTAGACTGAGGACTGTTTGATTGCACTTAAAATGATGAAGCAACCTGCTGCATGCATAAATGAGATTTATCAAGATAATGGTCAACCGTAGATGTGTTTTTGTTCGTGAATATATATTTGAATATAGTGCAGTTTTTAATGTGTGTTTGATCCTATCCTTTAAATGGAAATTGATTAGAGTATTCTCTGTATATGTGTTTGCTCTAGAAACTGGGAGGCATTGAAGAAGTGGGACGACGCACTTCAGCTTACACCAGATGATGCTGTTCTGTATGAGATGAAGTCACAGGTAAAAAACTGTTTTGTTTATACACACTATATAGCAATGGTTTAATATACTGCAGATGTAGAGGCACACAGATTTTATGCTGACACACTCTTATCCTCACTTCTCTCCTTTTCTCTGACTGTTATTTTCATTTCCTCCTCTCCAAGTTTCACTCTCCAAACACACTCCCTATCTGTGGCTTTGTAACAGAACATTTTGACATTTAGGTCCCCCCCCCCCCCCCCCATATTATCTCTTCTCTCATAGTAATGGGCTGGTTTTACTGCATAAACAAACTGTATCTTACAGAGAGAACACTATGGACATAGAGTACGTCTCCTTCACTCTGGATTGAAGGATAACTCTACAAATGTTTAAAAACATCAGTCATGACAATACAGCCCACTTCAGCATAAATAAATGGTACCATTTTGCAGACTTTCTTGTGTCTTAATGTAGGGAAATCCCCACTGAGTTTAGTGTCTTGCTCAAGAGCACAGTGGTTCTCAAACAAGGTTATTACAGTATGTTGTTAACTTACCAGTTCATGAGTCACATTTACTTCCCATCAGACCTCGGATCCTTTGTATTAGTAGCTTAGACATCTGTCTACCACCTCTGTATTTGTGAAGAATTATGTTGAACACAATGAAACAATTGAAGGAGTGCTTCACACTTGTTGCTGCTTTTCTTTTCATGTGTGACTGATAATTAAATTGAATGAATGAATAAATATTATAAATCTGTTATTATTTAAAAAAAAAAAAAATCTGTAGGCACATTTCATATTTGTCTACAACAGAGCTTCACTCATTTCAATTTTGAGATAAAATGCTTTTAAGACAGTAAGAAATGAAGCAAGTTCCAAAAATAAAGTGAAAATAAAATGTGTGACTGTTGAAAGTGGCAGCATTTTGTTATTCACTGAATGTTGGTTAAAATAATGCCATGAACAGAGTCATTGAGCTTGCTTCAGCTAATAGTAGGCCTTAATAGTAATAGTAACAGGCTGTTTCTGAAAAAAAATAAACTTTATAGATCACATTAACATGTTAGCAATTTGTAATGAATTTTACACCTGTTTTACGATGATGAATGACAGCTTTAAGACTTGTATAATGTGCCGGGAAAAGAAAAAATAGTTTGACGACCCCCTAGGCGGGCTGCTCCTTTCAACGTTAACAAGCTGGAGCAACGTCTTTATCCAGTGACTTTGTTGACAAGCAGCTGCTCTACACAAATCACATGGTATACGCTCACCTATAAAGGATTATTAGGAACACCATACTAATACTGTGTTTGACCCCCTTTCGCCTTCAGAACTGCCTTAATTCTACATGGCATTGATTCAGCAAGGTGCTGAAAGCATTCTTTAGAAATGTTGGCCCATATTGATAGGATAGCATCTTGTAGTTGATGGAGATTTGCACATCCAGGGCACGAAGCTCCCATTCCACCACATCCCAAAGATGCTCTATTGGGTTGAGATCTGGTGACTGTGGGGGCCATTTTAGTACAGTCAACTCATTGTCATGTTCAAGAAACCAATTTGAAATGATTTGAGCTTTGTGACATGGTGCATTATCCTGCTGGAAGTAGCCATCAGAGAATGGGTACATGGTGGGAATAAAGGGATGGACATGGTCAGAAACAATGCTCAGGTAGGCCGTGGCATTTAAACGATGCCCAATTGGCACTAAGGGGCCTAAAGTGTGCCAAGAAAACATCCCCACACCATTACACCACCACCACCAGCCTGCACAGTGGTAACAAGGCATGATGGATCCATGTTCTCATTCTGTTTACGCCAAATTCTGACTCTATCATCTGAATGTCTCAACAGAAATCGAGACTCATCAGACCAGGCAACATTTTTCCAGTCTTCAACTGTCCAATTTTGGTGAGCTCTTGCAAATTGTAGCCTCTTTTTCCTATTTGTAGTGGAGATGAGTGGTACCTGGTGGGGTCTTCTGTTGTTGTAGCCCATTCGCCTCAAGGTTGTGCGTGTTGCGGCTTCACAATGCTTTGCTGCATACCTCGGTTGTAACGAGTGGTTATTTCAGTTAAAGTTGCTCTTCTATCAGGTTGAATCAGTCGGCCCATTCTCCTCTAGCATCAACAAGGCATTTTCGACCACAGGACTGCCTGTGGATGTTTTTCCCTTTTCACACCATTCTTTGTAAACCGTAAAAACGGTTGTGCTTGAAAATCCCAGTAACTGAGCAGATTGTGAAATACCAGCCCGTTCTCATCCCAAGGCTTCATATATGATGCTTTTGCCAAAGCGTAGACCTCCAACGCACATGGCACCATTTTTAGTCTATATGAAACGCAGATATATATGGGGCAGAAGGTGCCTCATAGTGGTCTAACCCTAACCCTACCCCAGACCTAAACCTACAATACTTTGTGCGTGTTATATTGACGCTAAAGAGTGCCATGTGCGTTGGATGTCTATGCTTTGGCAAAAGCATCGTATGTGACGCCTTGGGATGAGAATGCGTTGGAAATACTCTGACCGGCCCGTCTGGCACCAACAGCCATGACACGCTCAAAATTACTTAAATCACCTTTCTTTCCCATTGTGACATTACGTTTGGAGTTCAAGAGATTGTCTCGACCAGGACCACACCCTTAAATGCAGTGAAGCAACTGCCATGTGATTGGTTGATAAGATAATTGCATTAATGAGAAATTGAACTGGTGTTCCTAATAATCCTTTAGGTCAGTGTATATGCTACAAAAAAGCATACACAGAATAGATAGTATTATTGTTCAGATGTTCAGCCCAATTGTTTCCGGAAAAAATATGTCGCCCAATTGTTTCCGGCTATGATAAGCCAAATATGCCTATTATTTTCAGTTATTATCTCCTCTTCCATTTTTTTTTTTATCTCATTCACTCATCTTACCTTTAATATCCTGTATTTTGCACTCTCTTCTGTCCATTATCCACACCCATGATCTCATCTCAGCTTTAGCTCTGACACTCAAAATGAGTCTGCTGTTAGGACAATACAGGATCTTGGATTTGGCACAGATATAGAATTTTTTTCTGTTGATCATTTGCATCCTTTTGACACTGAATAGAATTTAATTTTCACTTAACAGAGGGTATTGATAGATTTTAATGTTATGTAATTGTAAAGAATTTTAATTTCTCTCTTATCTATCAGGATAATAGTCACAAGTATGTTTTGTCATTTTATCTAAAATTCAGTGACAAAAAAAAACAATTAAGACTAGAATTTCATGATTTAATATGTTTGCAATATAAGCACATCAACATTTTCTCTTTTGTTTGACTTAAGTCGTCTGTACAAAATTTACTGTATGGCCCTAAATGTAGATGATTGCATACTTGCTTAGTCACACAAACACACACATGCACACACACGCATGCATGTGCTTTAGAAATACGTATACGCATGTTCAATGGCTCAGCTGCTCATTGTGCTGAGTACACAGACACACTTGTTTACTCGTTAATATCACTAACATAAGACAGATTGCATCCAGCAGCAGTCATTGCATCTAGTCACTTCGTCTTTTCTATCCACTTGTTACCCTGTTACCCTGAACAGCCTTACCTCGGCTAGTGCTTCTGACATTTTCTGATGTCTCTAGTCTAGTGGATAAACTTGACGTATAATTCGACTTGTGTATAAGTCGATCTTTGGTCTCATTAAACTATAGTTTGTTCCATGGCAAAAAAAAAATTGTTTTGGCTGAGGGCAAAGTAAAGCTTCATAACTTTATATGTTTAGGCTATTTAACTAATGTTTGATTGAAATGTTGTGTCATTTTATTTTATATTCTTAAAAAATATATATATATATATATATATATATATATATATATATATATATATTAACATTCTCTTCACTATATGTACAATAAAATAAAATGACACAACTCCGTCTCTGTTTGTTAAATGTCAAAAAAAATCAATAATGTTTCATATTTTTAAAATGAAAACAAAAAGATCATGTTCATGTTGTTATAAATATATGCACTGAAGATAATCAATGTATGCATTTCCTGATCCCTTTAGGCTATATTTAAGTTTGTTTGTTTGTTTGTTTTTTTTGTTTTTTGTTTTTTAAAGAAAAGAGGCAGAGTGTTTTATGTTTCATTTTATTGTTGCCTAAAAAATACATAAAGAGATAACCGGATTAGCCAGAGCGATTATTAATAATAAACAACACCACCAAATAATATCACTGTAAACAAAAGCCTTGCTTTCCTTGTTGGTAATGGATGGCAGTCAGTGAAGCTTCACTATAGGCCAGATAGTATTGGTGCATTTAAGTCATGTCCGAATGATTGAATTTATGAATTTATAAGCACCCATGAACGACAGCGTAATGTCATAGTTACCAGTCAAAAACGCTGGATTTTCTTTTAAATTGCTATTGAACATAACACATCATTGTGAATGTTGAGGTTTACACTTTTTGTTTGCCACTGAACACCTAATGTACATTATTTGGTTTTCTTTCTTTTTCTTATTTACTTTCTGTCCTAAAATCACTTGAACGCACATCATGGCATTATGACTTCCCAGAAGCACTTGAGTGCAGCATAGTTCAGGGTTTTGTTTCAGTGCTGGTCACATGGCTGTCCTTATTTTCCCGTTTCTTGTAAACCAAAGTAGTGACCTTTTCCTGACTGATCTCATGATCATGTAAACGGGGAGTCACCTGAAAAGAATGAGAAGGTGTGTGTGTCTGTCTCTCTCTCTTTATCTCTCTCTCTCTCACACACACACACACACACACACACACACACACCAACACACACGTGCGCGCACACACACACACAAATTAGTAATCTGATCACAATGGAGCAGCTGGTTGGCTCTGATTGTGCCCTGATCAATCTACAAGCAATGTTTGCCAAGAGTTTGCGTAAAGTTTACTTTTGAATTTCCCCTCTCAATTTGTCCTCTCTTCTCTCCCAACATGTTGCCAGCATCTGCTTATTGCACACCTGGTGATGCTTACCTCAACATGTAAATCTAACGTCTTTCAGCCTGCCTGCACATTTAGAACCAAACCTGCTGGAAACTAAGATTACAGCTCAGTTTTGTCCTTTAACTGCTCTTACCCTGGCAACACCCTTCGTTGTATAAAGCTGGTATTTACTTTGATTATTGGTCTGACCTGAATTTAAAGGCTTTAAGTAAATAAAACTCCACAATGGAAACATCTGTGATGCAAGAACATCCCTGTGTTACCACGTAGTGCAGTGTTTGCTTACTCGTTGTCATTTATATAGTCTCTCTCTTATGACCCAAGTGGATGTTTAGCAACACTCTTTATTGATGTTTAAAATAAAATGTTAAATTACATCAGAACTATACCAAACTTGAAGTATAATTCAGTTACGTTCTCAAATTCTCTTAAGTGCTTTTTATTCATTAGTTTTGGATGCATATTTTTCATATACAGTATAAAATTATTGTATGCTTAAGTTGCTAACAATGTTCTACAATAGCTGTTGTAAGTTGCATAAATCAGATATTTTTGCCCCGTTTTGCAGTCCGGAGGAGCTGATGCTAGTTGCTGAAAATCAGAGCCAGTTTAAATAATTTGAGCAGTCAGAGACAGATTTCACTGAAAATCAACTAGTGTATGAGAGGCACAGTCTTGGTCCCCCCTTTTGTTTTGCTTCAGACAAACATGTTTGATATTTTAAGTCTATTTTAGAACACATATAGTTTTCATCTGTCATGTGTCTCCTAGCAGCGAGGCTCGTGTTTTTGTGTGAATTTTTTGTGTTTGTAATGTGTGATCCTCAGTCATTTGGTTTATGATGCCCAGTTTTTTTTTTTTTTTGTAACCATTTATAAAGTTGGTAAGTGTAATATGAAAAAAATTGTGCTGAGAATGTTCAAAGAGGTGAGTCTGTAACCTTTTAATGTGTAATCCTTAGGTGTTGATCACCCTTCAAGAGGTGTTCCAAGCTGTGCAGTCTGCAGAGATGGCCACCAAACTGCGTCCCCTGTGGTGGGAGGCGTGGCAAACTCTGGGCCGTGCCCAAATAAGTCTTGGCGAAGTGGAGCTAGTAAGTATGAGCTACATCATAGTCAGTTATCTAGTCCAGTGTTCCCCAACCACTGTGCCGTTACGCTAGGTTGTCAGGTGTGCTGTGGAAAATGATTTGCATGATGAAATGAAGAAAAAAAAAGAATGCTACAAATAAGATTATATAATTGTGCTGTCTAGCCGAAACATTGAATCTCTTAATTTATCATTGTTTATTTTTTTTTATTATCAATGCTATTGGTAGTCCTTCAAGTCTGTATGTGAGTTTTACAAACTTATTGCGTCTGTCTGACAAGCACTCTCTTCTGATGTGCTGCTCTCTTCTGACTTCTCCACTATCAGCACGATAAAAAAATAACAACATAGCTGGGCGGACTCATGATGATATCACAAAGTAAAATGTCTAAAATGAGTCTAAAATGTTATGATATGGTTGACAAATTCAAAGGCAATTTGGAAAACAAACGCGTAATACTTGCTTCTAGATGTGTATCTGGATCATAAACTTTGACATTGCTACATCCTTCAGGAGTAACTTTTTAGTAAATAGAGCTATGTGGATTAATACAGGAGACACAATTGGGAGACATTCTCGTCACTGTGGCTTCAGTGACGTCACTAAAAGCCGCATTCTGAAAACAGTTCGTTGGGAGACACTGCTTATGATTTATGGGGATCAGTGTACGGTGGTTGTGTACACACACTGCCAACACACATTTATGTCCAAACACCATGTAAAAGTGAATTTTGCTTAATAGGTCCCTTTTAACTAAAAAAATGATTGTGCAAATATACAGTAAAAAGAGAGAGCTGAAATTGACAGAGATGGAAACATCACTGTATTATTATATACACTATAGTATATACAACACACAAGTTCACTTAAAAATTAAAGTTGTTATATGTTTTAGGCCTATTCAATGTTTAAAAAAATGGCTTTCAGTTATACTGTAATGTTGAATGACTGTAAATACAAATTTAATCCTCCAAAATTGGGGATGAAACTTAGCCCATCAGTACTTCCTTTAAACTTCCCCTATCCTTTAAACTTTTCCCAAAGTAAAGTTTTAAGTAGCCCATACAGCCAACCTTGAGAGTCAATCAATTTTTTTAGGGGGATTAACTTTTTCCACACAATCAGTTTATTCAGCATTTTTCATTGTAAACCGAACAATCTATAGTCTTCCAGTCGTGTTGTGGCATCGGTGTCTTTGTTGCATGTTAGATGCGTTCCAGGGTCAACATATTTTGTTGAACCTGGAACAACATTCCTGTCCGAAAATGTTATCCTAACTATATCTCTACTCCTAAACCTTACCCTACCCATAGGTCATCCCTAAAACCAGAGGGAAAGGATAGGTGAATATCACTGAATCACCTAACCAAGGTTGTAAGCCTAAACTGTAAACTTGTCCCTTAAAACTGGATAGTTTTTTCCAGGATCAACAAAGATGTTGCACTCAGTGAAATCAGGTTCTGCATCTTTGTCAGTCAGTAAGGAGGTGGTGCATGAGTTCCTCTGCCACTTATCCATCACTCGGATCAAGCGTCATTGCGATGAAGTGTGTAGTTCAGTACATCCAAGCCCAGGAGCATGAAAGAGTTCTTGAAGAGGAACACTGCCACACCTTACATGTCCTGACATGCATGTGATTGTGTGCGTTAGGCACAAATGCTTAATGAAAGAAAACCTTGCAGAACCAACAGTTCTTTGGCTAGTACCCACTAGTGTGTGTCCGTGTGTGTTTAATCTAAACACTTATCACACACACTTAGCTTGACATGTTGGCTAGAGTTTGGAGAAATATTTTACTACTTTGGGCTGAGCATGCCTTGTCAAGTCAATAACCAAAGAGAAAAATAACCTGAGGATGACTAATGTTTATGTTTGGTGATTTTTTTTTTTTTTTTTTTTGATCATGATCAACAGATTTTCTTAGGAATGCTGCTTTAATAATTGACTCTTCGTTAAAACCCTCCTAAAACCTCACTGACATATTGTTAGACAAGGTTTTGCTTTTATTATTTTTCTTATGTACATCTCTCCTGTCTGTTTGGACAGCTTTAAGTGGAATTTTATAGAAATTTACAATGGAGAACTTTGCTGCCATTGCACAACATTCTCAAAGGAAATAAGTATGTTCTTCCCCACAAATCTTTAATTCATTACACATACACTTCAATATTTTTTTTAACTGTCCGAGTCCTATTCTTAAATAAAAATGTAAGACATCAGTAAAAGCATCTGCATTTACTTTATCGAAGACAGTGGGGCTCGACAGCCTTAGTCAAACGGGTTGGCGCGTATGGTTGAGTTGCTCAAGATTGTGCGATTGTGGTTAGGTCACATGTGAACTTATGAGGAAGTAGCAACCTCAGCAGCAGGAGGGATGTATATGTCAGTAAGCTGGGCTGAGTTGAGTGGGGGACGGAGGGGGGTGACTCTAGGACGCCAGAGCCCTCTTGAGGTGTCGTGGGCTAGTTGACGAAACACTGAGGATGGAAGGTGTCCACTTAAAGACCCTAGAGATGTCCCCTACTCGGCTCAAACCAGATGGTTGTCGTGCTTGTCCACTGCTAAGACCACACTGTAGTTGCAGCCGTTGTGTGTTGACGCGCAAATGAATGGAGAAACATAGGTTACTGTAAAGCTATGTCTTAGTTTGTGCTTATCTTGGCTTATCTTTGGGTGAAAAAGTGAAATCACTTTTAAATGATTAGCATTTTCCTTGATTCTGATTCCTATTATCTGCTGTTTTTAATCTCGTTATTGCATAATAGAAAGAAAAAAAAATCATTCCAGCCAACACAAGATTAATATCCAATCAGTTTTACCACATTTAATAATGATGTTCCTGGAAATCTGCAGTTCAGTCCAATGGAAAGTTCTGTAAAGTTTGTTTGAGCGAGAAATTAAGAGGATGGTGATTTAAGCGTCAATTGTTTTTCTTTCCTGTAACAACAATATCGTATCATGCATGACACAGCGTATTAAAAAGGCGGAGCTCAATTAAAAGGGAGTTCAGCGTTTGAAAACACGTCACAAGACCTTGCGTTTTCCCCCATTCCACTGCCCACTTGTGTGTAAATGTTTTCAGTCATAAACATCTTAAAGGTGATTTTCTGTAGCTTGTTAAAATCTTCCTGCAAAATACAGGTTATATTAACACATATACCCATATATTTTATGAAGATGTTGCACTTAAACATAATGAATAAATGCAATATTCCAACTTTAATCTGATTATTCCAACTTTAATCTAAACCAGCGGAAGTCGTTAGCGTGGCGCTTTCTTCTGCTTTGCGCATGCGTAGAAGTGCAAGAAAATAAGTCATTATTACGAGAAAGTTTCTCATTATTATGAGATGTTAAGTCATTTTGAGATGTTTAGTCATTATAACAAGAAAGTTTCTCATTATAGTGAGATACTAAGTAATTATTATGTGAAACTATCTCAATATAATGTGAAACTAAGTCTTAATTATGAGAAAGTTTCTCATTATTATGACTTACAGAATTATATTTTTTTTACTCAACTGTGGCAGAAACGGGCTTCCATACTTAAAATCAGAGTTATATAAAAAAAATATGCTGGCTCTTCCAAGCTTTATAATGACAATGAATGGCTGTTTCTGTTTTGAAGTCCATAAAATTGCATCTCTCCATCATAAAATTGCATCTGTCCATCATAAAAGTGCATCTGTCCATCATAAAAGTGCATCTATCCATCATAAAAGTACATTAATCCATATAATAAATTAGCTATAGCTAAAAACATTATGATACATGCATCAGATTACTGTCAAAGATTATCTATGTTATTTGTATCTGTCCCTACCTAAATAAACTTAAGTAACAGATCACATCACCCATGGTTGCATTCAAAAAATAGCAACTGCAAACCATTAAGAATGCAACATCATCACATTCTTTATTACACACACTAAACAACTGCATGCGTCAGATATCCCAACGCATTCTCATCCCAAAGCGCCATATAGGACGCTTTTGCAAAAGTGTAAATATCCAACGCACATGGCACCCTTTAACGTCTAATGAGACGCTTCGGTTATGGTTAAGTTTAGGTATGGTGTAGGGTAAGGGTTAGACCACTAGGGGGCGCCTTCTGCCCAAATATATCTGCGTCTCATTTCACGTTAAAGGGTGCCATGTGCGTTGGATATTTACGCTTTTGCAAAAGCGTCCTATATGGCGCTTTGGGATGAGAACGGGCTCGATATCCAGGATCCACAATATTAAAAGGATTGTCAAAAAAGCTAATATTTCTGTTATGAAGATGGCTTTTTATGTGCAAACTGCATTACAGCTGGTTGAGTGCTGAAGAGGTCGTTCAGTCTATGGAGAACTGCAATAACACATGTTCATTTACTTCTGTATGGGGTCTAAAGCCTAGTTCCTGCTGTGAATCAGTCACTCTTTTCATGTTACCCAGGAGATGAAGCAAATAATGAATTCATAAATTTGATTTAGTGGGGTGTTTTAACTTCATAATTGCCTCATTGACTCAAAAATCTACAAAGGAACGATCAACTCTTTCAACAAAAACACTAGATCACGTATCTGCCTGAAAGAGGAAGAATATCAGAGCCAGTGTGAGCCAGAGCCAAGAATCCAGCCCTTGTCAAAAAGAAAACCTTTAATGAGGAATAAAGCCATCTGATGGCTTGGGGAGACCTTTTCTCCTCTAGGGTCCTGATTGATTTAACAGAGATGATTTCAACAGTTGTGATGAAGTCATGGAATTTATTCATTTAATTGTACTGGGTGACTTGCACATCAAACTCAACAGTGCCGAATTCTACAAGATGTTTGTCTAGATAAACAAAAGTTATCTATTTTCTAAATGCATTGCAGTATTAATTGATAATATTGTAATTGATCCATGCACGTTTCATTTTTTAAATTTTGTTTTTTACATTACGTCATTTTTAATAATATAAAAAAATGTCATAATGATCTTATGGAGAAACAGCAGACTTGCTTTCTGGTCATGTACTTTGGATTTTCTCTATAATTTGTTTCACTCGATGTACGTCACTATATGGAGGAACTGATCTGTTGCTTTTTCAGTTTCCCTGCAGTTTAAATAAAACTATGGAAGCCCGTTTCCGCCACAGTTGAGTAAAACATATAATTCTTTCAGTCATAATAATGAGAAACTTTCTCATAATTATGACTTAGTTTCTCATTATAATGAGAAACTTTCTCGTAATAATGACTTAACATCTCATAATAATGAGAAACCTTTTTGTAATAATGACTTAACATCTTGTAATAATGAGAAACTTTCTCGTAATAGTGACTTAAAGGGATAGTTCACTTTGAAATTTATTTTAGTGTGTTTTAGCTGATCCCAAGGGTATCCAAGATGTAAGTGTCTTTTTGTTGACTCATAAATGTAAGCACACATTGATGGCCTAAGACACGAAACGAGCAGTTTGTGTGAGAAAACGAACAGTATTTATATCGCTTTTACCTCTTGTAACCACAGCCACAAAGTGCCCGCCCCCTCAGATTACTTGGACGTGGCTGTGGTTACAAGAGGAAAAAACAATATAAATACTGTTTGTTTTCTCACACAAACCGCTCATTTCGTGTCTTAGGCCATCAATGTGTACTTACATTTACTCCTCTTTGAGGCTACCTCTTTGAGGTGGTGTCCATAGACCTGCATTATATGACTGACAGACAAGAACGGTTTGACCTAAAAATATCAAAATTGAAACAACTGCAGAAACAAAGATTATGACCAATCTCATAATAATGAGAAACTTTCTCGTAATAATGACTTATTTTCTTGCACTTCTACACATGCGCAAAGCAGTGGAGCAGAAGGAAGTGCTACCCTAGCGACTTCCGCTGGTCAAAGCCGTGTAAATGCATCACAGTAAACATGGCACTGCAAAACAGTTATTTTTATTAAAGGTGTGAAAGTGGAATGCAGAAGTGTGTTATTGCGTTATTGCGTTATTTCTGGAGTGGCTTTTTGGGAGGAAATGGCTTTTTGTGTAAGTGGAGTTGTTTTAGTACATGTTCAGTAAGCTGCAGAGGTTTATTTTAGAGACTAGTGTGAAGTCATGAATACTTCGATTTGAATGTGGAATAAACATCTGTTCATGTTCATTTTGGAGTGTAAGTGACCATTAGAGTGCAGTACAGAGTCTATGCATGTTATAATTTTGAGGTAACATTCAGTGTGTCGCAGCTTTTGGTCATATCAAACGTTTACGTTGTAGATAAACATAGGAATTGTTTGGGTCACAAAGCACAAAAAACATGATACAGCAAAAAAATGATAGCAATTATTTTAATTTAAACTTGTTTTGAAATCTAAAGTTTATTACATTGAAAAATTAAAAAAATTGAATTATACCATTTTGGTATACTGTATCGCCCATATCTATATCATTCACACTAATGTTCAAAGGTTTAGGGTGAGAATTTTGCAAATAGCCTGTCTTGTTGGCAGAGGTTATTTACACTAACTCCTCCCACTGACATCTGGTAGGGCCACTAATTTCACAATATTACTGTTTTTACTGTATTTTTGATCAAATAAATGTATCTTTGGTGAGCAAAAGAGTTTTTTTTTTTTTTCAGAAACAGTAAAAAACAAACAAACCAACGGCACGGTATATAAATATCTATGCCTTTTGCGTGTAGTTTTACCTTTGTATGTGTCATGTTCCATGTGTGTTCCAGGCTGTACGGTCCTTCCAAGTGGCATTGCACCTGCATCCGTCTGAGCGCCTCCTCTGGGAGGAAGACCTAGCCTGGGCCTTACAGCTCCGGGAGAAGCAACAAGCTCTCCGTGAAAAGGCGACACAGGAAGAAGAAGCCCGAAGGCTCCTTGTGGAAGCTCCAGAGCTAAAGAGCGATTATGATTTTGAAAGCAATGAAGTGATTGAGGCTTGCACAGCCATGGCTGATAGACTTAAAAAATATGAGGACTTAAAGAAAACGGCAGTTGTTGTGAACACATGTGGGGTGACCAAAGAGGTGGTTGTCGAGGATGACAACAAACCCACTTCATCCTCACAAAGTGATTTAGTCAAGGCACGAGGACTCTGAGGGAAACGGAGGCTGCTTTTGTGTCTCCTCATCTGTGTATTTTGTTTAGATTATGTTTGTACTGTTGATTTGATAATCCAGGGTTCTGGTTGGCTTCCTCATAGTGTTCAGCACAGTTGTTCAGTGAACTTGTAAAGTGAGCGCAAGATTTCCAGAAGAATCTGAAATGCTTCTGGATAATTTTCTCTCAAAAAAAGAGCATAAATTTCCTTCCTTTTACTGAAGCATTCTGTTGTTATTTCATCGCTTTCAAGTTCTCAAAATAGCAGAGAAATCCCTTTTCAATGTACTTGACCTAGGAATGTTATTCCCAGTCGCCTTTGTTTAAGTCTCGTTTTATGTGAGATGTGAGCCCTCGCTGGGACCAGAGTGCTGTTATTGCAGCGTGAAACTCTGATGTGCTTGGGCTGAGTGGGAAGAGCATGATACACACACACACACACACCCTTCCTCCTATTTCCAGAAAATTTGTGTTTTACTTAGTGCTACTTAGAACTGAAGTAGCAGTGTTATAGTCATTGGTTAAACTCGGAGCTAAAAGTCATGCAGAAGAGAGAAGTCATGTAGGGAGTGATATGATTTTTTGTCTGTTTGTCATCCTAGAGAGATAGAAGGAAACAGCCCATTAGTTAATGTGCTTTATTATAATAATGAATTATTTTGTTTTGTTTTTTTTTTGGTGGTGAAATTACTCTTATATTCTTTACTTAACCCACTCCTGTCTAACGTAAGGCCTGGGTTATTCACACAGATCAGAGTACGTTTTGCATTCAAATGCGCTGCTTTTCCATTGTTCTTGTCATGTAAACATGCTAGACCGAAATGTTTGACTGTTCTGCTTCGACTTACATTGGACATGGCCTTCTAGAAATGCAGCAGTCTAGTTAAAAGAGGTTCAGCTTTTAAAAATGCACCTCTAAACCTTACATAGTCTTTTAACTCATTTTTAAACTCCAAATGAAGTCCATTTACACAGAACGCATTTTTGTATTACACTTTTCTATTGGTTTTACGTGTAAACATGCCATGGACATGTTTAGCCTTTCTGCTCGCATCTTTTCCAGTGTCTTGCACGTTCTACCCTCCGTCTCACGTTTTTAAATGTTTTCTGTAAATGGCCTCAGGTCATTTTTTGGTAAAATGAAGGTGGTTCACATGGAAAGCCCCTCCACATTTTGATTGTCTCTTAGACGCATCTATTTTATGCCTGGTACACATTGTACAATTTCAGGCTGTCCCAGATGAAAGATTACGAATCCTGCTGATTTCTATGATCGTGGCTCCTTAAATCGTACAGTGAGAGGTTCAAAGATGACCGCTGTCACGGTCTTGTGACCAAAGATAGTCTGCGATTTAATGTTTAGACAGAGTCAGAAATTTAGCATGATCATCTCACAGTGTGTTTGCTACTACGACCAACGTCTACTAATAAAAATGCAACATGAAATGGCATATTTATCAATGTGATATTTAAAAGATTGTCAGGTCAAATTAGCTTCTTTTCCTCAGCCATGACTAGTGTTAGAAAAAGTTACTTTTAAAAGTAATGCATTACAATATTCCGTTACACTAAAAGTAACTGCGTTATTTAGTTACTTTTTATGGAAAGTAATGCATTAAGTTACTTTTACGTTACTTTTTCTCATCTGGGCTGGGCTGTTTTTTTTTTTTTTTTTTTTTTTTTTTGTCTGCCTTATAAAACAACAAAAAAGTTCTATTTCTGGCATATTTAAAGCTACACTGTGTGATTTTTACCCCCATCTAGCGGTGAAAAGGTATATGACCATCCAGTGAATATTAGTTTCTGTTCCTCTCAATTCCGATTTCGTTTTAACTCCTACGGTGGCCAATGTAGTCCAAGATTAACATGGCTTCCAGTTCGACCTCGTCCATGAGTGTTAACTCAAACGTAAACGCTAAAGGCAAAGCTTGAATTAACGGGTATGTCCCTCTTTGGCTAATGTACTTTCAAGATGGAGGGGCAACATGGCGACCGACATTAGAACCTCTTACCCGTATATATTTTCAATGGCATATTATACACTCACTACAATACTTAATAACTTGAACGAAGTAAACATACATTAATGAGCACATATATTTTTGAAAGACCTAAGTGTTTTTAGCTAAGAATAGAGTTACACGGTGTAGCTTTAAAGGCCCTTTCACACCAAAAGTGATAAGCATCAGGCTGAAGGAAAGGCAAATTCACACCTGTACAGTGGAAGTGTAGTTCAAACAAACAAGCCTTTCCGCTCTACTGCTGTTTGAAAAATTAACAGATATTTTGTTGTAAGTTTAAAAGTAATGCGTTACTTTATTAGTTACTTGATAAAAGTAATTGATTATGCAAGTCAAGTTAATTGTAATGAGTTACCCCCAAAACTGGCCATGACTGCATCCATATTCTCTTTCTCGTAGCGCACATAAAAAACACAATTGCCAAAGTGTGATTCATCTTGCTCTATTTGTTTACCATTAGCACATGCTGATGATGTTTTATTGTATACCATCTTGCGTCATAGCCCACGATTTAATACGTGTCATCATCGTACATTCTGCATATGTCGTAACCCAGTTTATTAGGTCCATCCATGTTGTACAATGTGATTCGTAATGATCTTATAAGGTTGCTGAAATCATCTGTAGCAGGCAATAAGTTGCGGCTTTTACGAATGAGCTGATGAGTTGAATTAGGTGTGTTAGATGACATACAAAATGTGCAGTGGTGGGGTATCCCAAGGACAGGTTGGATAAGCAATGGTCTAAGAGACAATGGAAAAGCAGAGTATGTGGAATGTAAAAATGCCTTTCTTTTTTTGCGGTAAAACACTTTTAAGAACAACTTTTAACGTATTGCATGTTTAAAACGCTGTGGCATTCACGAGATGCTGCAGAAGACGTGCAATTTTTATGTTGATGATTGTCTGTTACTGGCACTAACCCCATCATTCATAGGCATTCATATCTGAATTGATACTGTCCAGCTGTGTGCGTGGGCTGCAAACCGAGGGATTTACGTCCCTAATGCTTTTTATTCGGCACCTGTGGGACCTGGCGGAAGCTTCCAGCATCCTTCTGCCTCCCGCTAATCATCTGCTAATTGATGCTTCATTCAAATAAATGAGGACACACACTAACGTATTCGCTAATGATGGTTTAGGGAGGTGCCTGGAACTGATGAATCCTATGGGCTGTGCTGCGGAAGGACTGCAGTGAAAGATTGCATTTGTCAGTTCTCATTTACCTATACCTATACGTATAGGTCCCAGGACAGGTGGCAGTTTGTACATCATAGCAAGTGCACAAATGTGTGATTCATGCTGAGAGTACTTGCAATGAAGAGTTGAACTTATTCCCCTTCATGATCTAATGGAATTATGGGATGTCTACTGTCGGTGAAGGTCTCCAGATCTGTCCCTCCACATTGATCAATGTGTAAGAATCGTGATGATTCACAGGACTGATTTAGTTTGACCCACAAATCAAAAGGAATGCCAGAGTTTATATATTTAAGGATGTAAAGGCAAAAATATATGCATATAATTTAAGAGTTATAACATAACTTACCCTGATCAGTCATTTATTAAAATGATTTTTTATTTGAAGATAATGAGCTCTGGCCCTTTTTAACAAAGCAGACACAAGGAATGCTGACACACTGGAAACTTTTGGGTCAGTATGGGTCATCTGTATTTTTCCACATACAGATCCTGCAGTACACTGTGAATAGGATGAGTGTGCACATCGCTGATGAATACTGATCATGTTTTTTAGTCTGGATTAAAGTCTAGTCTTGTCTCATTAGTAATTATTTACAATTTGCAAATATATCCATTGTTAATTGATTTTCTCTGGACATAATTGTTCATCCTTAAAGGGATACTCCACTTTTTTGCAAATAGGCTCATTTTACAACTCCCCCAGAGTTAAACAGTTGAATTTCACCATTTTTGAATCCATTCAGCCGATTTTCTGATATTTAGAAGAATATCAGTTACCAGACAGTTTCTGGTCTCATTGACTTCCATAGTATATTTTATTCCTACTATGGAAGTCAATGGGACCAGAAACTGTATGGTAACTGATATTCTTCTAAATATCAGAAAATCGGCTGAATGGATTCGAAAATGGTGAAATTCAACTGTTTAACTCTGGGGGAGTTGTTAAATGAGCCTATTTCCAAAAAAAAAGTGGAGTATCCCTTTAAATGCTATTTTTCTGTTTTTGTTTGAATGCAGGGTGCTGCTTTTTCTTTTTTTTTTTTTTAAATCAAGGTTTCAAAAATGTTTAAAAATGTTTTTGATAATCATGACCCCGCTCTTGTGATAGTCTGATATATATATATATATATATATACACTCACCGGCCACTTTATTAGGTACACCTGTCCAACTGCTCGTTAACACTTAATTTCTAAGCAGCCAATCACATGGCGGCAACTCAGTGCATTTAGGCATGTAGACATGGTCAAGACAATCTCCTGCAGTTCAAACCGAGCATCAGTATGGGGAAGAAAGGTGATTTGAGTGACTTTGAACGTGGCATGATTGTTGGTGCCAAAAGGGCTGGTCTGAGTATTTCAGAAACTGCTAATCTACTGGGATTTTCACGCACAACCATCTCTAGGGTTTACAGAGAATGGTCCGAAAAAGAAAAAACATCCAGTGAGCGGCAGTTCTGTGGGCGGAAATGCCTTGTTGATGCCAGAGGTCAGAGGAGAATGGCCAGACTGGTTCGAGCTGATAGAAGGGCAACAGTGACTCAAATAACCACCCGTTACAACCAAGGTGGGCAGAAGAGCATCTCTGAACGCACAGTACGTCGAACTTTGAGGCAGATGGGCTACAGCAGCAGAAGACCACACCGGGTGCCACTCCTTTCAGCTAAAAACAGGAAACTGAGGCTACAATTTGCACAAGCTCATCAAAATTGGACAATAGAAGATTGGAAAAACGTTGCCTGGTCTGATGAGTCTCGATTTCTGCTGCGACATTCGGATGGTAGGGTCAGAATTTGGCGTCTACAACATGAAAGCATGGATCCATCCTGCCTTGTATCAACGGTTCAGGCTGGTGGTGGTGGTGTCATGGTGTGGGGAATATTTTCTTGGCACTCTTTGGGCCCCTTGGTACCAATTGAGCATCGTTGCAACGCCACAGCCTACCTGAGTATTGTTGCTGACCATGTCCATCCCTTTATGACCACAATGTACCCAACTTCTGATGGCTACTTTCAGCAGGATAATGCGCCATGTCATAAAGCTGGAATCATCTCAGACTGGTTTCTTGAACATGACAATGAGTTCGCTGTACTCAAATGGCCTCCACAGTCACCAGATCTCAATCCAATAGAGCATCTTTGGGATGTGGTGGAACGGGAGATTCGCATCATGGATGTGCAGCCGACAAATCTGCGGCAACTGTGTGATGCCATCATGTCAATATGGACCAAACTCCCTGAGGAATGCTTCCAGCACCTTGTTGAATCTATGCCACGAAGAATTGAGGCAGTTCTGAAGGCAAAAGGGGGTCCAACCCGTTACTAGCATGGGGTACCTAATAAAGTGGCCGGTGAGTGTATATATATATATATATATATATACATTCATTTGTAATACTTGAAGGACTGGGATCGTTCAATTATTTTAATGCTAATATGCTTATATTAATATTGAAGAGTGCAACAACAAATTTTGTTTTTTGTTTTCTATTTTCTATTTGTCAGTTTATTTTAGCATAAAATATAGCTGGCAATTGCACATTCTGAAGGGTCACATTAAGGATAATAAGCAAGTCAAGGTTTGAAATTCGTGTGTTAAAAAATGAGAAAATGAAATGGTGAAAACATACAATAATGTTGTAATGTTGAATCATTTATATACATGCAGCAGATGGTGCTTACGTAGTCTGTTTTTATACACAACAAGTGAAATGAAACAAAAAAACATATAACTGCTTCAACTTGGGTAGAACTATTTCAAGCCTTACCTTCTCACAGAGAAGAAATAACTACAGTCCACAGATTGTCCAACACAACTGAAATAAATAAGACGCTGTTCACATTTTAACAGCACAAATATGTACAGATGAACTCAGCAGTTCCTCCTTGACGGCCACTGACTGATCAAGACCTTAGTGATCGATTTCGACAATTTCAGTGGTTACAAGGATTTAAAAGTGCAAAACGTATGACCTCAAAAGACATTCAACATTTTAAAGGGATCTCACCCTCAAGTTGTTGCAAACCTGTACGAGTTTCTTTCTTCTGCTGAACACAAAGGAAGATATTTTGAAGAACGACTGGAACCAAACACTTCCATAGTAGAAAAAATTATATATAATGAAAGTTTGGTTCCAATCGTTCTTCCACACATTTTTGTGTAGACTAGTATCCCTGCTTTAATAGCTTTTACAATTTCAGCTCCTAAACGTTCTTGACAATGATATGCTGTTTATCATGTGCTCTTACATTGTATAATGTGTTTTCGGTACCGTTATATATTGTGTCGGTATTACTGTCATTAAACAAATGACATTGCTTGTTTAATTCACAGAATATTGTACATATTATGGAAATTCCCAAACAATGCACAGTTATGCCTAGCTACATCTTATATAAGTTTGTTTTTCTGCATCAGTCACTGGAAATAAAGTGTTCTGGTCACCTTAACATAAGAAAAAGAACATTTTAAACCACGAGTTCCAGTATGAGAAACGCTTACAAGGCACTCTGGTTACTTGAACTTGTGACCTAATGAAGAATGTCTGAAAAAGAGGACTTGAAGCAGGGCAGCAGATATTTGATCGCTTGTGCAACCCACTAGGTCATCCATCTGATCTAATCACGTGTCGGCAAAAAATCCCCTCTCCCTTGGTCAAATCAGTCAACCGGGGCCAAATGCAATTTTATCTATAGTCAAAAACGAATAGGCTTATTAGGAACTCACAATATAGACACATTTATACGATCTCTGTCATTCTCCTCATCGTCTAGAGATTATGCGGGATAACCTGTTGCTCAAAAAAAAAGTTACCAGAAAACGAAGTTAGCCTCTCTGTCAACAATCTAGTTCCAGCTGCAGTAACCATTTCTCTTTTCACTTTTTTCTTTAGTACTCTGATTAGTGTTTTTTCTCTCAACTATCATTTTACTCTCATGAGGGTTTTTTTCTTTCGATTCGGTCTGTTGGCAACGCTCGAATCAGGCTCCTGAAATGTATTCCCCCTCCTGACATGTTGCTCTGCTGAACTGAGTGAGTTTTCCAGGCTCGCTTTCAGCATTTTTTTATATGCTTCTCTCTTCTAAGCTCAAAGTCTCGTCTGTGAAGGTGACTTGCAGCGGCTGGTGCTTGGAACAGTGCGCTTCATTTGGGGTGGAGTACGTGCACGAATGTGTTTTCACAAAGTCTGTGCTCGTTTCTGTTCTGTTTTCTCCGCTGCTGAGGTCTACCACCTGAGAGTCACCTGAGAGAAGGGTTTGCTCGGTTGAAGTTGAACACGTCCTGCTCTGCACAGAGTCACCACAGCAGTCCTGTCCCGCGTCCAGGGGATACAAATATGTCTGTGACGTGCTGATAATCTCCGGCTGCTCAGGCAGAACCAGCGACGGCAAATCACGAGAGACAAACGATGAGCTGTGGACACCATTACTGCATTGGAAGTCCGTAGGGCTCCTCCCGTGACTCCGTCCACCGATACGGCAAAAGAGACACTTGATCTTTTCTAGAATCTTCTGCACAACCGTCTTTCTCAGCAGGATGTAGATCCAGGGGTCTAGAATGGGGTTAATGGAGGCAATTCGGATGGCCTTAAGGTTCCGCATTTCTGCTGTGTCTCCTGTGGTGGGCATCTGGTTCACAAACACCTGCACCTAGACAGGAAACGAGACATTATCTTTTTACTTCTTTATCTTTAGTCATACTACATTGATTTCCGACACCAAACACAATCATGAGATACTGGTTGTGTCTTTCCACTATGAGTCAGCATAACATAATAATGCTGGGTACAGATCATAGACATACAAATCATATGCAGTGAACGTCAAGAGATAACAATCAACAGATTGCTTGTGCACTAAGTTGTTTAGAGTGTTGTGACAACCTTTAAGGGCTTTTCGATCGGTTAAGATTTTTAAATTACGGTTGGGTTTGTCAAAATTTGACCCAAACACACTAAAGGATATGGTCATTAAAAAACATGCATTATGGGATAGCATTTGTCTGATAGTAGCCTATATTTTATAGATCCTAACTGTTTATGTCATTCATTTATTTAATGTTTATATGCAGAAACGTTTCTGTACAATGCACTGACAATAATGCATGTGGTACAATGCAAGGCCAATAATAAGAAAAATTCACTAAATCAAAAAAAAAAAAAAGAGATGCTTTTAAAATACATTTAAGAAATTATGGTTAGTTTACAGAGGAAATGAGTAGGCCTATCCCATTTATAAGGTGGGATAAGATTCATATTCATATTATTCTTTCCATATTTTTAATTTGTTAAATAAAAATCTATATATTGTATAGCTATATTCTATATAGTGTCTTGCTAAATCTAATATACATTTTTCAGTAGATTATAATGCTTGTCATTTACACTCCAATTTTAACGTATGCTAGTATTATAAAATATATGATACGATTTTACACAATTTTGTTAATTCGTGGACTTTTAACTGAAACCAAACTATTACATTTTCCTAAGACCATCAATCCATTTTAACTAAGTTGTTGTTGTTTTCAGTCGGATATCCCACATATTTTGCAACACGCTCTTAAGTTCGTTGTCATTTCCCAAAAGCCATCAAATCCCACTTACCACTAAAGGAATGGAGCAGATGAGCACGACAACGGACGTGGCTATGAGAACAATGACCATCTGGATCTCCGCACCAGCCAGACGCGCGAAACTCCGCCTGCGCCTCATCTCCGCGACGCGCGCCTGGTCTGTCCCCAGCGAGGTCCTGCGCACGAAGCGCTTGTGCATCATGATGAGAGCCGCGCACACCAACACGTTACAAATGACGGTGGCGAGGATGAGGACGGAGCTGAAGCCGGCGTACATGTAGGAGAAAGTGGCGTTCGAGCTGTCGTTTTTATGCCAGTCGATGAAGCACCAGGTTCCTGGCTTCTGGAGTGCCACGGATCCCAGTCCCATGCTGGGAAGAGCACAGAAGAGTGCATCGGACACATAGATTCCCGCGAGCGTCAAGCCTGCCACCCGCTGGTCCACGTAGTGGTTATAGAAATAGGCATGATTGATGGCGAGGTACCTCTCGACGGACATGGCACAGATAATACTGAGACCTGCCAATGAGAAGAAGAGTAAAATGAACCCGGAATACTGACACAGCGGATACCCACCGGGCCACGCGCCCTTTACATAGGTGGCAATGGTGACTGGACTGGCGAGCAGCGTGCCCAAGAGGTCAGTTACGGCAAGTCCGCACACCAAGGTGTAAAAAGTGGTCTCCTTTTGCTCTTTCCGTGACTTTTGAAGCACCACGATAGCAATAATGTTCCCGACCACGCCAAATATAAACATAATGACCGGGATGGTAGGGTCCATGTTCATCTTCACCGAGTTGTTGCTCACGATGGTCGATGTTCAAATCAGATCGGTCACTTTACACGCGCTCAAGACGCATGGCATCAAATGCTGACTTCCCCAATCTATGTCAAAGATCCCACGATCATACTTTCCACGTGTGTGTTTCATGCGCTGTTACGCGTCTCCAAAATATCCAAAGCGCGTCTCGGATTAGGATACATTTTGGTACACATGCGAGTCCGGTACACATGCGATCTTCCACAAATTCAGTCCTGTGTTTTTGCTCGTGAGAGGTGTGTAGTCCACAGTTGCCTTGACTCTCAACTAAACTGACTCACAAGTTCTTCCCCGAGAGCTTTCTGCCAACTCCGCCCCCGAGTTTACGGCAGTCTCGCACCCTCCTGTCACTGCAAGTTGACACGTATATGTCTCCCCATTAAATACCTACTGGGCTAATATTTATCTACACAATTTACACTCATTGCCCTTTCTTCGTTTTTTTGTTTCTTTCTTCTCAAAATCAGACATGCAAATCTACATGTAAGCTGTTCTGTTTTTTTTTTTTTTTTTTTTTTTTTTTGAAAAAGGATGTTTGCTCCTTAAGCTGCATTCAAGAGAATTACGAAGGTAGCACATCCTGACAGCAAAACATATCTATTATGACGTGTGACATTATAATACATGTGTTAAAATGGATAGCACATTTTGTTAAGACCATTAGGCTATAACTCATTTCAAAACCCAGTTTCTAAAGGGACCAGCATTTTCCTCCCAAAAAAATAAAAAAATCAAAAAATCAAATGATCATATAATTAAAGCACTGAAAACGTAATACAGACACTTATGATAGTGTTGTGATGACAGCCGCTCCAAAGCCCCAGTCCATCATCCACCTTCCCTGACCGTAATCCATCCTTGAGGAAGAAATAAAACAGCACATGGAAAGTGCACAAGATATCTTTAAATTATCCAGATTTACATGCTGCCTTCAATGTTAGCGCGGTACTGTTTAATTTATGCATAACATAGCCTTTACATAAAAGTTGGGAGTTGACAAAATAGCTACAGGCTATGTGCTATCTATTTTATCTGTTACTTTACTAAAACTTTAATCACTGACAATGAGATTTATTCACTTGTTGTGCAAAAAAGTCAAATTAACAAATCAAGTGTGATCAGAAGATTTTTTTTTACATTCAGACCACTTTTTCGTTTTTTTGTTTTTGTTTTTTTTTTGCCATTGCATTTTCTATTCATTTTTTTTATTATTGCATATGGGTAGTTCTGCAAGGTTTTTTATTTATTTATTTTTATTTTTGACAAGGATCCACAGAATGCACAGCTTTTGAAATGTCATTCAACCAGATATTTCTGGATTTGTTTCCATCATGTGGTGTGCCTTGTGCTTATTGACGTCTGATGTCTACATAAGCTACAACAGACGCAATGTTATTGAAAGCCATGCATGCACCAGCAACAGCATCAAAGTATGTATGAGAACAGAGCATTGTGGTTTTCTGTGAGGTTTGCACTTTCGGTGTCTTGTCATTTTTGGTATCATTGCTAGCTGAGCTGTAGCTACAAAGGAAGTGTGTGTCCATTAGGTGAATGCACAATAAATGAGTGATCACCAATCTCTACCTCAGATCAAATATTTCACATTCAGTCTGAACAAACGTTCATTACGGTAGGTTGTGTTCAAAGAGCACTTTGTTCAGACTTCTTTTTAGTTCTGGTAGTGAAGTACATTTTTTTTTTTAAACGGCACTTGCAATATGGACGTCATATTGCATTAAGATATGAAGTCAAAACTCTTATAAAATAAAGTTGCAATTCTGAGAAATATTTGAAATTGTGACAAAGTTATGAGAAATTAAAGGACACCTATTATGGAAAATTCACTTTTACATGGTGTTTGAACATAAATGTGTGTTGGCAGTGTATGAGCAAAACCACCCTAGAATGATATAAATCCAGAATCCAGAATTGAGCAAGGGGTTTGATTGACAGTGTGGTTGTGGCATAGACCCTTGTTTCAACGACAGCCGGTAATATCTCTAGGAAACAAATGTTCTGTCGTGGGTTAATCCTGTTGTTGTGGCTTAAAAGTTAATCCTCGTCTACTGTTTGCGATCCACCGACACCTCCAGTAACAGTAAGCGTATTTTATGATTTTTGAGCAAATAGTCTTTTCAGTCGATGTCAGCCAATTCAACAGCAAATGTGTCTAAACTTGTTGTCGTCGTAGGATGTCTGTGTATATAATTTAAACCTTGTTTGTATAGTGTGTAACCACACGTTAGAATGTAGCCACGCCCTAGAATGTAGATTGACCAATCACAGCCCAGCCAAGAACCAGCACCCACAGAGGTCCGACAGTTTTTCACAGCGCTCCATTGACTTTCAACACAGGCGTCTCATATTTTTGGTCTCGGCAGGCTATTACCGTCGAAGTTTTATCCAAAATATGGTTAAACGTTGTGCCTCAGGCATTTGCAACACAGATACGCGAACGTTTCCCAGAGAGGTTGGAGGGGGGTGTCCGTTTTTTCCCTTCCCAAAACCGAAGTCAAATCCTGACAAGTGTCGTGTTTGGATTAAACTGTATGGACGTCCTCAGTCAGCTAAACCCCGCAAAGATCAACAAGCACATCTTTTTTTTACTTCTAACCTTACTGTAAGTGTGAAGTTATACTAGTTAGACCGTTTTATAATGTTTTAGGTTATGAGTTCGGTTCTCATACCGGTTGTTGATACGCTAGCACGCACGCTGCTAATAAATACAACGTTATACAGTACTCGTGTACAGTACAACGTTATACAGTACTCGTCCGTTTGCTTTGTAATAACGATTATAGAAGTGAGACCTACCCAGCTTTGCATGAACAGTGTTGCTCCCTGATATTGTTAGTCCCAGCCTCCGTCTCGATTAGTAGGAAATGCGGTGGTTCATTTTTTGACTGTGACCGGTAACGTTATGCTTTTGCCTCTATTTGGATGCCTTGTTGTTTCTAGCGTTTCACCTGTATGTCTTGAATATAGCCTTCGAACGCATATTGCAGCCCCTTTTGCCTACTTCTATCGGACACTTTATTTGCTGCTTTATAAAAGTTTGATAACATTTCAGCAGGAAGAGCCGTCACAGCATAAGCCATGCAGAGCGCAGATGAAGTTTGAGGATGTAGCAACAGTAACTAAGGGGGGCGGGGCTTATCCAAAGGTGAATTACAAGAAATAGTCACAATAGTGAGATAAAATCTAATTTACAGTAAGAGTAATGTTGCAACTTGCAAGTGATAGACGGGACAGGCGAGTAAGTTCCAGTTACCTTTTTTTTAACTCTTATGGGGTTTTCCAAATGGGGATGACTTCAAATGTTCCATGAACATCACTTTAATAGATTTCCCGAGCAGGTATTGAATCCAACGCCGATCGATGACCCTCCATCACCTTCTCAGTATTGTGTTGTTTTTAACCTTCTCAGCGTAACTTCATGCTCAGTCCACTAGTACGACTGATGTTTAATCTGCAGTTAATGAAACATAAAGCCTCTTGAACTACAGCTTTTCTTGATTGAGCTGTCTGTGTTTGGAAGGATGGTGCGGCTGACTAAGTGCTGTATTCCATTCTCAATGCTTCTGTGACCAAAGTCAATAAGCAGTAATTAAAAGTCATTCAAATGAAAGATTAGAGAATGATGGGTATTTACTTTAATGGAGAACGTTATTATGCTTTCCTAGAGAATGAGCACATGAGTCAGTGTAAAAAAGAATAATCTAAAGTTATCTGTTTGATGACCTCTAAAAGCAAATTTTGAATATTTTCTTTGTGGTGATAGATCGTCTTTTCCCGTACATATAATAATAATAATAATAATAATAATAATAATTGATAAATAATAAATAAATAATAATAAACACATATGACGTGGTTTGTCTAAAAGGATCTTAAACCACTATTCCATCAGCACTCAATTAATATTAATATTTCCATAAAAGTTTTTAGAGTTTGCACATCTTTGTCCATGGTCCCTGGCTTTTGTCTTTCTCCCTTAAAACCTTGTAACTCCTCAACATAAGACCTTAGCCTCCCTACAGAGTGCTCTCTCTAAAGCCATGCCTCCTTCAACACAGCAGATTCTGCAAAGCATCATGAGAGATGGCTTTAAATCCTCATGTCTCAAAGCACAAAACATTGAATGGTCATTAATTAAATATGTAATTGTGGATCAATACCATAATAACTGATTTTCTTTAACTAATAGTGTTAATTAATATGTTAATTACCAGAATGAGCTAAAGCCTTGTATTTAAACTTCCAGATAATATGACAGGTACACTAATATGCATTAATACATGATTAATTACTTAATTGTTAGTGCAAATTCATGTGCAAATTATTACAATTACTAAATGACTAGTTAATAATGATGTGCCCCACCGAGTAAAGTCATAACATAATGATACCTTTGCAAATCATTAGCTAATGATTAATTAAAGCAGACAACTAGAAGTGAAGTGCATTGCTTTGACTGATTGTGCTAATTAACACATTAATTTAAACTATTAGTTAATAAAATATGTTATTAAGGAATTAATCCACAATGACACATTGAATTAATAGCAATTCATGTATTACTAAATCTATTAATCATATATAGACTCTTTAGTTGCTGATGCAGTAATCATTAGCCTAATTAATGGTTTAGTTCTTCTTGAGTTATACATTAACTCATGATTATCTGTGCATTAGAAGCATATTAGTGCACCTGTATTGTAAAGTGTTACCGCCATCTCCTAATTATGGTTATGACATGGTGTAAAAGCAACATAAGTTTGTGGATTTTGTTCGGGAGGAACTGTAAAAGGCAACTGCTGTTTGTTTGCAGTTCTTGATGACTGTCTGTCTACAACTCTGCATAGCCTTATGAAACACGCTGATGACGTGTGATATCTGTGTGAGCAGGGTGCGCAGAGCAGTGCTTAATGTGAACCGGATCCCGTTCTGGCATTGTTTTTATAATGATTCGGCATAAACAAGTGCATTACATGACAGTGCATGCACACTTGCGTGAAGCAAGCGTTTTCGGTTCAGTTCTCGTGCGAGTAAAGATGAGTTAGCAAATTATTGAAAACGCTCATTTTGCAACAGGGTGCACGCATCGTGAGAGACAGAGCGTGGTTGGTTGGGGCTTAATTATTGTTTTGGACGCAGCAAAGTGCAACATTTGGAGAGAGTGTAGCAGATATCTGATGAATTATTACTCAGTTCACATCATTAAAATGTTAAAAAGACAGCCTAGCATATTTTCATTTTCCATTTTCCGTGTCCACGAGCAAAGCTGGAAGTGTGTCTGATCAAAAGAGATCCCGTAGATGGAACTATTAATAATAATCAGGATTATAGCAGGAAACACAAGCAACTGGTGTTAGATCAGTCAGAATCAG